CAAAATTTGCATTCAGAACCTTATTTTTTTCCTCCAGATAATTTGGAAAGACAGTGAAGTGGTTCCCTTCCTGCATTTTTTGGCTCCTACCAAAAACATGCCATTTGAAAGTTCCTAAGTATTCTCACCTGACACAGAGCTAACTCAATCGTAGAATACAGCGGCTGCCTTTCATGTCCTCAGTGTCTATGCCATGAGGCAAAAATTAGTCTGGAGAAACCTTCAAGATTTTTATCTGAAGAAAGAATCTTGAAACTGTGAAGCACAAGAATGAGAATATGGAAAGAATAAAGCTCACACTTGGCCTCCATCCGCTGTAGATGTCCACAAATTTGTTATAAGCTCAGGTCTCTGAAGAGCTGCTACCAGGGTTCGTTGAACCATGTGCAGTCCATGAAGGAGATGGGTCCATGGAATATGCCTTTGAAGATCTTTACTCCCCACTTTTAAGACCCAGGGAGCCAAAGTGACCACAAAACACAGAGCATGTGTGTCTCACTGCCAGGCCACTTGGTAAAGAATTTGGATTCCTGCATAAGTCTAAGGGCTCAAAATGCTTAAAATAAGATCTGGCTGCAGAATAGGACAAGCTGGGCCCATGGCATAAGCATTTTCATGTGAGGTAATACTTGACTTTCCAGGTCTGTGGACGAAAGAAATGAAGACTAAAGAAATGCAATATAAATATTTGTAGTAGCAGGTAAAAAATGTAGCCACCATGAATTCAATATGAAAAAGGTACTCCATGACAATTATCTTATGGGAATGGTATGTTGTATAGCAGCTTAAATCTACTGTGCATGTGATAGACCTTTCATCTGTACAGCCAACATATAACACAAGTGTGGGAGCACAGATTATGCACAGATTATGCATAATGTGAGATAAAAACTATTCTGCTGCATAGCCCTGTGTGACAGACGTGGGCTGTGTTGACAGCAGCAACTCATACAGTGCCAGGGCAGCACAGGCATGGTGTGGTCACAGCTGTACTATTAAAACTCCAAAATATCCTGAGAAAAAGGCTGCAGATACATGCTGGCTTCTATGTTGTGCTTGCGAATTGTTTGGGGATTTATCCCTATGGGCAGTTCAAGGCTATTGTCCTTGCTATGGCACTGCATAATTTATTGGTACAGGTGTAGCCTGAGATACCAGTTGCAGGGTGATACTTCCCATCTTCCTCATTCTTTTATATGTCCAAAGTTTTTTGTGCTCTGGAGCATTAGTTAAGGCAATCTGATCAAGCACTCGATCTGGTGGTTGGCAACCCCACCTGTGGCAGGATGATCCTTGAGGTCCCTTCCAACCCAAGCCATTCTATGATTCTATGATTCTGTGATTACTTGCTGTGCTGGTCCCAGAGACTTTTAAAACATTATAAAAATAAACCACGGATTTTTCCAAAACAGGCAGACAGGGACTGCCTGGTTCTCTGTGCCACTGCTTCTATAGCTCTGGGTGCAAGAAGGAAGGAGGTGATGATCCATCACTCACCAGCTTTCAGAAGCCCAGAGGGCACTTCAGGTGTTCTAGCAGATCACAGTATCCCCTTCCTTTTATCAGGCAACATCCATGGTTCATTGCTTGTGGCCTCTTCCTTCTAATGACTGACATGGCAACGTCAGCCAAGGCCATTTGTGGTCATTGGCATGTTTACAGCAGCAATGAAACATTAGAGCCTTTTCTGTGTCAGGAAGAGTATTTCTTGCTGAATGTACTGACAAGCCCGCACTGGCAACCTTGCACTGGCATAGCTGTGTTGCTCTCAGATGTGCTGCAGAAGGTTGTGGAGTCCCAACTAAGCGCTAGGAGGGGTGTGATTCCCTAAGCACTGCCATCAGGGAGCGCAGCTTCCTTTGGTTTGAGAGCTGGGAATGCACCTGCTTTGCCTTTCAGAGGCAGAAATGCATCTGCAGCTGGACGTAGTCTGAGGTTAGAGACCTGTGCTAATGCATGAGCCATCAGCAAAGCCTCCCTGTTCAGTGAGGCCTGTTCCTGAAGGCATTTTCCATTGTGGAGACCAGGGAAGTTTTGTTCTCAACAAAGAAACCCTGCGCTGGTCATTGTGAAATCTGTGAGAAATCAGAGTTTGCTCCAAAAAAGGGAAAGGTTTCTGAGTGAAGGAAGAGCTCTGCTGGTCAGTGTCTTCTAAACCCCAGGGGTTCTTGGAGTAGGAATGGTTTTGAAGACTCCACCATAATTTCATAAAGCATTTGCATCCCCCTATTTCCTTCCTGTAGCTTCTACCACACCTGAGGCACTACAGTTTTCCCAAAGGTAACCCATCAAAAGCAAACTCTTACAGAGTTCTCCACCTTGTCAGCAGCTGGCACTCGCCATCTCTCCCCCTGCAACATGGTGATGTGGGAAAAGATAATTTCTGATTTGAGAAGAAAATACCCAATTCAGGTCAGGGTAAGGGACACAAGGGAGCAAGGGAGACAAGGGAGAGTTTCCTCCTGACCTTCCTTTACTGTTCCCACTGCATCTAGCAAAAAAAAATGTACAATTTTTTTTAACATCAGAATGTATTCACTCTCTTAGCAAGTGAGGAAACACAAGGGGCTTCCTTAATGGCAGCAGTGACAGAGGATAAACAAACCCCAAACATTAAGCAATTACAATTTCCATGTACTCATAATGACCTTTAAAAACCTGCCTGTATTCCTCTCAGAGGTAATGGGGATGTATTGAGCAGAACTGCTAGATATGTGTGTATTTAAAAGCACATGCAAATAAATATGCTGTATTATTTTTTTGCTGAGCATCTCATCTGTTTGTCTGGACTTGTTCAAAAAATTCTCACACTGGAAGCACCAAGGGAATGAAATTAATTTAACATGCTCACACTCTCCATCCTCCAAAATACTGAGAGGGACCACTGGGAACCCAAAGGCATCCTGTCTCAGCTAGAAGAGAAGTTACAGTAACATTAGAGGTGGCATTAATGAGAAAAAGTTCCACGTTGTGCTTAACCCTTTCCACCTGCTTCTAACCACAGCAAGCGTTATGAGCCCTGAAACACTGGTTTGTGGTCAGCTCTCTTGAGAATGTGGGGACTAAGCCATGCTGCTGTTAGGGTTTCTTTTTCTGTGTGTGCTGTGCTTTTTAGAAGTGATGCTAGGATCAAAGAATAGGTTTTTACCACCACGAAGGGTCTTCTCAAACCAAGGCACTGCTGACCTCACTTCATAGTGCACGCCGAGTACTGCCATATCTCCCTCTAGTTACTCAGTGTGTTCATTCTATTAGAAGCTAGAGGTCCTGGCTCCAGCACTAAATGAAATGAGCAGAAGTCCATCCATTTAAAGCATCTTAAATCCAACCCTCTGCTTTGCACTTGTTCCTGTTCCTCTCAGGCCTGTAGCAGTGATGTTGCCATCAAATTAGTGAATGTTTTTTCTCCTCACAACCTTGTTATTAGCAACCTCATTCTTGCCTATTCTTTGTGACACTTGCAAAACCTTACACTTGCTTGCTGAACTGCCGGCTTCTGGCCTTACAGTGCTTTTTGCCATGTCTTAGTTTATTCCTATTTGATCCTATGAGCTTCCCTTACAGACTTCCCAAAATATTGTCCCATCATCCACCTTGCCCACAGCACTGATTTCACCACCCCAGCTCAGTGAAGCTCTGTAAAATTTACCCCATCCTAAGAGGCAGTGCTGTCTCCCCTTTTACGTACGCTACTGCCTCCCAGTCTACCAACCACTGCAGTGCTTTGGGTCCTACCTTGCACAGTGCTTCTTGATACAGCTATGAATACAGCCCTCCTGTCACAAGTATCTCAGCACTTATTCCTCCTCAGGGTTTAATTCAGCTGGTTTGGAAGCACGGGACCTCTTTCCCTAGCTAATGATTTTTTCTTCATTGGGCTGCAATTATTATACAGTAATGAACACACACGTGTGTGCTTTGAAGGAATCTGTGTCACGTGTCTTTAATAGAGCACAGATGTGAATTTTGGCAGCTCTTATTGTTCAATATGTTCTCCTATTGTTGCTCGGTTTTTCTCACACTGTTCCTGATCTGGCAAACAGCAGAGGACTTGTCTGTCATACGTTGGTCTCCGCAGACTTCCATGGAGCCAAAGTGTTAATCCACTGAGTCAGCCATTCTGCATGGTTTTGGTGATTATATGAGTGAGCAAAGGAATAACAGGGAGCACTAATTCTTCTCCTCCTCCATATTTCACTGTACAGCCCTGACGCTGCCACGTCTGGCAAACCCAGTGTGCAATCAGTGTTGATCTTCAGCTTAGACCTTCAGTAAGATAGTTCCATAAACATAATGACATCATGTCATGACATCATTACTTTCCTCTGTGTTTGAATCAGCTTGTGTGCTTTTATAGAAAATCCTATACATTCACTGCTCCTCCAACTTAATTGACAACAGGGAAGCACCACACACATTACTTTCAACATCAGGCTCTCAAGGGCATGAGCAACATTCCCATAACCCATTAGGTACCCGCCCAGACCAGACTTTGTCATCTTACAAGTAAAGACAGCTAAATAAACAGAAAAGTCAGTTTCACAGCGTAAAAGCTTGAAAAAATAAAACAAAAAATGAAAAAAAACCAAACCCAGGATTCTGTCTCGGGGAAGGGTGAAGCAAAAATTTTGCAGTACCTTGTTCATTGGGACTTCAGGACTGATTTGAAAACACTAGATGCTATGGCGATACCATACTGGTCCCAAGAGAATAAAGCTTTGATGTCCCATTTCCCATCTTCCCCAGACCTTTCCCAGAACGAACCATGATTCTGCTGCTCCATGGGGTATTAATGTTAGTGTTGATTGGAAAGTCTCTGCAGAAGAATAACCCCTGGAAACTAGAAGTGGTATGTTGTATGATATGGATAATGTGAAACTGAGCATGGCTGAAGGATTCAGCATTCTTTATGGACAGAACAGTATATTGAATCACAGACCCACGGCCAGCATCTCTTGAGAGCCTCAGTGAAGCAAAAGACTTGAAAATACTGTACTTACATGATAGATCAGGTTTTGTCTATGGTATCTTCCTGAAGGTCAGTTTATATCCACCTCTGTTCTGCTGCTCCACCAGAAATAAATACAGAAGATAACTGTACACTTACAAGAAGTACTGAAAGTCCCATTATTTGTAGGAAAGGAGGGGCAGAGAGTAAAGGGGTAAGTGTCATAGTTTACAGCCATGTGTTTGCAAATAGGGGCTAATGTATGCATACCGGCACTCAGTTTCACACATCACTGCTGAAACACTGATTAACTGCAGAGTTATCTTTGCAGTGACACTACACACAGAGCACAGCCCATAAAATCAGGGGCTACAATGACTTCCTTTAGGCCATCGAAGTCCTCCATCCATGTCTCCCCAACCAAAGTCCCTAATTTAGGATTTGCACTCCTGCTTGACTCCGTACGCTGATTTATAGACATCTGTAAACATTGCCATCTCAACTCTTTTGTGTGACAGCATCTAGGAATCAATTTATAGGATTTTAATTCAGTAATTCAGTGGGTTGAGTTGTGCATATGAACTAACACTTCCATGTCTGATTACTGAGCTAATCGCAGTGCCGCAGTCTCACCCCAAAACCCACAGGCGTCCTCTATCCCAACTTTGTCAACAGTTCGTGCACATTTTAAAAGCATAGAAGTTTTTTTCCCCATTTCTCGAAGAAAAAGAGCCATTACAAAACATAAACATAAACAAACACACAGAAAGAGACAGACATTTGCATCATTAAAAAAAAAAAAAAAAAAAAAAGCATGCCTTTCTCATTAAACTCTGGTGTTATTCTTTGATTATAAGCATCTTCTTTCCCAGGAAATCTATGACTAAGTGTGTGTAAACCCACATCCCAGGGGTCTGCTCCTGTGGCAGTTGTGGCCACCCCCAGAACCCCCAGAACTGGGTCTGCGTATGCACCATATTCACACATGTAATACATCCTCTCTTCCTTCAGCTTCCCTCCCCATCCATGTGCTTGCCAAGTATTCTAGCTGGTCACCTCGTTACAACAGAAATCCCAACCAGGATGTGGTAGAGGCTCACAATATTTGTACTGATTGGTCTAGCCCACATCACTTCCACCACTTAGAGTCAAAGAATTGTTTGATTTGAAAGGGACCTTCAAAGGTCATCTAGTCCAACTCCCCTGCAATGAACAGGGATACCTATAGCTAGAGCAGGGTGCTCAGAGCTAGGTCCAGCACCTAAACAGCAGCATCATAATTCCCATATCAGGTAGCTGTGGACTCTGGTTTCTTTAGTTCTGTGGATTATTGAGAGCATTTGTTCCTACTTCAGCAGTCTAAGGGCACTCCATTATCACTAGATCTACACTTCGTGAAATCCAGCCAAATGCATACACTCCCTTCTCTCCTTGCTTTCCCTATAAGGAAGGTTCACATACACAGAAATTACACCAGTGTGGGATTTTGGTGATGCAAATGAATTTCCAGCAAGCCCTGTGCTAACATTCCCTCGGAACTGCAGCTTTCCTGGTGAAGCTGCCACATGTTTGCAGCCCTGGTCCCTGGCATTATGGTCAGCCCAAGTGGCTTGAGGTTCCAGCCTGATCCAGCACCAGCTGGGATGAGGCAAAGCTTCATCAAAAAAGCTGACATCACATTTCCAAGAAGCAAAGAGAAAGAGAGATACTTGAGCAGAGCTTTGCTAATGCCTGTGGTTTTTCCCAGGCTAGCATGAAACTTGGGTTGTTTATTGGATCCCAAACTATCTTTGCATGTACACAGGAAAACAGATGCTTCCCACTCCCAGGCCCTGTGCTTGGGCCAGGCTCCCTCAACAGAACTCTGCAGGTAGGGCACACAGCCGGGACATCAGAGACATGGCTTCCTGCCTCACTGCTTGGAGCTGACGATACCGCGTTATCTATCTCACGCACGTCTTCGTCCCCTTGCCAGGGGCATGAAACTTGTGGCCTGCTTTTCCTGCATGCTGGGAACAGTCATCACATTTGGCTCAAATAATATGCACGGGGCACAGATGACAGAGCTGGGAAACAGGCCAGGTCTCCCTGAGCCCAAACAAGCAGGTACCCTGGCTGCTGGGCTCCCTTTCATCTTCCAGAGCTAAAAGTCTGGCATGGTTCATCCTATCCTCAGGTGCAGCCCTCTGTTTGACTCACAGGTGCCAGCGGCTAATGAAGTTTCAAGTTCTTACAATAAATTATAGAGGCAAAGGAGAAATAGAGAGTAAAGTCATGTGCCTGGACATATGCTTATCTTAACTGTGGGGCTGCAGGAAGGCTTCCTGTCAAGGTCTCCTATCACAGGACTGCTGGCTTGTGCCAGCACTACGGCGTACTGCTGCTGAGGGTTCTTTTCATTCATGAAGTGGAGTAGAACCATACAATTGTTAAGGCTGAAAAGACCACTAAGATCACTTAGTCTAACTACCAACCCATCCCCACCATGCCCACTAACCACAGTGCTACATCCACGTGGTTCCTGAACACCTCCAGGGAAGGTGACTCTGCCACCTCCCTGGGCAGCCTGTGCCACTGCAGCACCACTCTTTCTGAGAATAAATTTTTCCTAATATCCAACCTGAGCCTCCCCTTGTACAACTTGAGGCCATTCCTTCTCATCCTATCACCGTTATCCGGGAGAAGAGGCTAACTCCCATGTCACTGCAACCTCCTTTCAGAGAGCGATGAGGTCTCCCCTGAGCTCTTCTTCTCCAGACTGAACAACTCCAGTTCCCTCAGCCACTCCCCATTAATACTTGTGCTCTGGACCCCTCACAGCTCTGCCACCCTTCTCTGGTCAAGCTCCAAGGCCTCCATGACTTTCATGTAGTGAGGGTCACAACACTGAACAGAGCACCTGAGGTGCAGCCTTCAGCTTTCTGCCTGAGGAATGTCTCCACAAGTGACACGGGTTGTCTGAGGGTGCGATGCACTCACTGTTCCCCTCTCCCATGACATTTCTTTACATAGGCAGCTGAACAGCAAAACATCGGCGCTGGTTACTAATTTTGTTATTTATAGCAGGCTGTCGCAGATGGAGACAGCAGCACCATTCTATCTTTAGGGCGTAGTGCCTGCCTGTCCATACAGACAATTGGTAATTAGCACAAGAACAGTTTGTTTATCTGTTCTCAAACTTAAATAAATAGGAGAACCATTTATCTGTCAAAACACAACTCCGGATCTCTAGGTTAACTGCTTGATGAATAGAGCTCAGTGCTTCAGGTATTTAGGTAGACTGAAGTTCCTTTTAGAGAACTTCCCAAGAAAGCAAATAAAAATATGCAATAAAAATTAGTGTGTTGCATATCAAAGGGATAGTAGATATATCAGATAGACCTGGTTGCTTTCCTGGTACAGTCACTTCCTACGTGGCTGTGCAACCCAACTCTCAGCCAGTCCCTAGCAGTGAATCCCTGCACGAGCTGGGGAACAGGAGGCAGAGAGGATACTTCTGCTCTCTCCAAGTAAAATGTACATTAAGATGCCCTTGGCTGGCTGGGATGGCAGGACCATACACAATGTAAACTCCACAAGAACTAGAGTGAAGACATGACATAATTTTTTTTCTATTTTTATTGCTGATCCCAACCCTTCTTTGTTCTCTTTTATTCCCTACACCCACCCCTAATTTAGAGGAGAAAGGGAGAGACTTTGTGAATAGATGAACTTTGTGACTTGGACCCGAGAGCTGGCCCCTCTTCCCCTCTCCTTCCCCCACCACTGCTGGAGGGAGGGGAACGGGAGCTGCAGAGGGACTGCTCACACTCATGCTAAAGGCCAAAGCAATCTGTGTGAAAAGAGCAACAATGCTCATCTTTCTTGGAATTCAAATGTTTTCAGCTGCTGGCAGGTGAAGTTTTTTACATGCGCATACACATGCATATCCACACATACATGGTGGGGGAGAAAAAGTGGTTTTAGAAGTTAATGTTATCGTGCAGCAAAAGAGGGTCAGATCTGAAGAGTTCTGCCTGTCCTCTGTTTCCGACCGTGTGTCCCAGCAAAGAGCCACTTGCTTATTGAGCTGCCACCTGGGCAGTCTTTATTGGACCTGTTTATCTTCCCATCAGCATCTAGGCGGGGGATAAAAGCAACCAAATGAAAGTAAACTATTTCAAATACAATGGCTGGAAATAAAGACTAATGAGTTCCTTCTTCTGTCTTTCAGCTCACGACTCCGAATTTCCCTGTAGTGGTCAAGCTGGGACACGCTCATGCCGGAATGGGGAAGGTAAGTAAAGGAAAAAATACATGCAGTTCAGGAAAGAGATATCTGTGTGGCACAGCCTCCTTGCGTGCAATCAGCCAGCAGGGAGTTAAACCTTCCCACAGCCTATCTGAGTGGCACTGCCTGTTCCTGTGGGAGAAAAGGCCTCCTGCTGCTGTCACGCACAGAGCCAGGCAGCGGTGTCAGTCTGGAGGCTGCCAGGCTGTGGGAGGGGGTTCAGAAGAGTGGGGGGAAGGCTGGCCAGGCAGGAGCCATTCAGCTTGGCTTTTATACATTTTCTGCTCTCTCAAAAGTAGTGATGTTGTTTATTCAAGCACCTGCAATGTGCAGCTACACCCCATAGCTCTCACAACGAGGCACAGCAGCTCTGGTCCTTTTGAGAGCATGACGATGACCTTATTCAATAAAGTGGGAGCCCTTCAGCTATTTTTTTCCTCCTTGCAAGGAAGAACAAGACCTTACAAAGCAGAGTGGCTGGTTGCCTGCCAAGGAATCCTGAAAAACAGTTCGCTCCCCAGAAGGACCTGTTTGTTTTTCCCAGGCTCACTGGGATCTTTATTCCTCCAGTGAATTGCCAGCCCCTGTTTCTGGGGGTGCCTGGTCTCCCTTTTCAGCAAGGCATCTCCAGTATGTCTCTGCTGCACTTTTGCCTCCTGTTTCCTTCATATGCCTCTTTTAAAAAGCATCTTCTGTCTGTCCAAAACATGATCTGTTCACAGTTAGGGAATTCTGATGCATCATCTCTGAATCCAAATGGGTGATACATGAACTTTGTAATTGGTATCTCTGTCACTGCGCTTCCCTAGAGCAGAGCTTTCTTCTCCCTGCCTCACACTGTTTGCCTGAAAAGTATACATAAGGTACACCATACCTAAGCCTGGTACAGCCTGTTTGCTTGCAATCTGTAAACAAAAGTGCT